GCGCTCAACTGCCTTGTTCCACTGGTGTATCAAATGACCGCGCTTCTCGGCCTCCATGTCTGGGCTCCAAGTGGCGCTAATTTGCCAGTTCTCGCGCAGCTCATCGTTCGTCTTCCAGAATCCTACGGCCAGGCCAGCCGCATACGCAGCACCCAGCGCTGTCGTTTCGGCCACCACGGGGCGGACCACTGACACATTCAATACATCCGATTGGAACTGCATGAGCGTCTCGTTCACCACCATACCGCCATCCACCTTGAGCTTTGTGAGATGGATGCCGCTGTCGCCCTCCATGGCTGCCACCACCTCATGCGTTTGGAACGCAGTTGCCTCCAGTGCAGCACGGCACACGTGCTCGCGTGTGGCGTAAGAGGTTAGACCAACCATTACACCACGCGCATCATCCCGCCAGCGAGGTGCAAACAATCCGGAGAACGCCGGCACAAGGTACACACCGCCGTTGTCGCTGACTTGCTTGGCATACTCCTCGACCTCTGGTGCACTACTTATCATCTTAAGGTTATCGCGCAACCACTGTACGAGCGATCCAGCGTACGAAATTGAGCCCTCCAAGGCGTACACAGCTGGCTGTTCGCCGATCTTGTAGCCAACGGTTGTTAGCAGTCCCTTGGTAGACTGCGTTGGCGTCGTTCCCGTATTCATCATGAAGAAACAGCCCGTACCGTATGTGTTCTTAGCCTCACCAGGAGAGAAGCATGTCTGACCAAAGAGCGCAGCTTGCTGGTCACCCAAATTGCCCGAGATGGGGACACCGCAGATCACACTGTCCTTGTGCCCCAAGGCGTAGACCTCTGAGCTGGAGTGAATGGCCGGCAGCATGGACTTGGGAATATTAAAGCACCTGAGAATATCATCGTCCCATTTGAGCGTATCCAGCCGCATGAGGTTTGTGCGCGAGGCATTGGTCACGTCAGTCACATGCACGCCACCGTCAACGCCTCCGCTCAGCTTCCAGATGAGCCAAGTATCCATGTTTCCAAAAATGGCGTCGCCAGCCTCAGCCTTGGCTCGCAGGCCGGGCACGTTTTCGAGCATCCACATGATCTTGACGGCCGAGAAGTAGGTGGCAATGGGTAGACCCGTAATAGACCGAAAGCGATCGCCGCCCGTGCCGAAAAATCCTTTTCCCTCCCCATTCTTTAGCCGATGAACAATCTCCTTGGTACGCGTGTCGTGCCACACGATTGCGTTGTACAGCGGCTCGCCCGTGACGCGATCCCAAATGAGTGCCGTCTCGCGCTGGTTGGCGATGCCGATGGCTTGTAGCTGCGATAGCTTGATGCCACCCTTTGCTAGCGCCTCACGTACGCATGTATCGACGTTGTGCATTATCTCGTTGGCGTCATGCTCGCACCATCCTGGCTGCTGGTAGATTTGCTTGTGCTCGATCTGGTACGTGGCCGCAATGTTACCACTGTGATCAAAGGCGATAAAACGAGAGCTAGTGGTACCCTGGTCGATGGCACCCACGAATGACGTAGCTGGATCCATAGTAGAGAGGAGGGGGGGCGCTAAATGACACTTCCGGAGTGACTTAATTTTTCAATGGAATAAACAAAAGTCAATTAAATGGTAATTTGTGTACACGCATAAGTGTATGCAAGTTGCAGTAGACAACATCCACTATTGCTGCGACACCACAACTTGCTGGCGAAACATCAAGTAAGACATTGTGATAATAACTAATTCGTGTTTTAAGATCCGAAGAGCATTCAGAATACGTAGACCGCCATTACCAGTCTACTTGTCGTAAGTTAAAAGAGATCTGCTGAAAAAGTCTTTTGTAAAACTACTTTTTCCATGGACAAATGATCGGAATTCTTGCATGAAATGGGGGCTTTTGTGTAGAAGACTTGGGCTCATAACCTGTCACACTTATCAATTTGCGCAGGTGAGTGTCCCTACTCTGTATTGTTCACCCTAAAGAACAGCGACACTCACCTGCGCAGTGTGTAAGTGTGACATTTTGGTCTTCGCAAAAGGCTCTTTTTCAAATTATGCATTTTACTTAACGTATGCACGTCGTTGATGAAGACCACTTCAATATACAAATTACTTATTTGGTGGTGTAAAATCGACAGGGCCAAGGCCAGTATGAGGTTTCTAACTATGTTAAACGCCAGATCATGCTGCTGAGTTGGCATGCTGCAATGTCACAAATTCATGCGACTAGAATTTCCATATTTGTTATACCAGTAATCGCTAATATAATTGCACACCACTTCCCAATTCGCGCCTTCGAGCAACAACGGCCAAGAGACGAAGACCTTCAAAGAGCCGGTCAACCGGCCCCCTCCGACCAGGGCGGGAAGTCCCTCCAACGGGAGGCCCAGGATAAGAGGGGGGAGGTTTTCCCTCTGCTGCGTGCGCTATGGGGGGCAAGCGCAGCGTGCTAACCGTAAGGGGAGCACCAACCCTGTTACCCCCGGGGGGAGAGGATCGACGACCGCGGTTATCATTCCCTCTTTCCTTAATAGTTCCTGCTATTCTACGTCAGCCTTCAAGCCGCCGATTCGATCGCCGAGCGCGAATCTCGGTCCCACGAAGTGAACTTGCCAAGAACGTGAATTGATCGGCCCCGTCCAGGTGCATCAGCGGTCGATCGGGACTGATCGATGTGGTGCCCGGCGCTTGTTGCGATCATTGAGCCACTGTTTACACCTCGGGCTGGATACCCGATTCCACGTGCCCTTTTCGGAGTGTCCCCCGTGACGCCCGACATCTCGAGCCAGCAGATTGAGCCAGCGAGGCGAAGAATGACGAAGTCCTGGTAGAAGCACTCCAGACATCTTACCAATCCTTAATGTTTGAAATAGACGGTCTGTTCTTCTCTAATATAATTGCACAACAAAGCCATGGACAAAACAAACTTGCCTTTTTGATGCTGCCTAAACGGATAACTTGTCTTATCTAATAGATGTCATATTTCTTAAAATATCTCGTCAGGCAAGTTTTTCTGGATTGAACTTCAAGCGCTCAGAGACGCGGTGATTGTTTTAAAAGCTTACATTGTCGAAGTTACTAACACTTAAGGTAAGACTGGCTGACAATTAAAAATTTGGTACCTTTAATAATCAATGCAAGGAAAGACCTGCAATCCTAGAGCATTTACCATTACAGAGATATGACTTTAATTATTCGTTTAGTGTTAAAGGCTTGATTTTCTTTGATGTTTCGTCTGGAAGGATGCAAAACCAGCTAGCCTTCCAGCCGATCAAATATCTTCACTTCTCAATCACGGTCAAGACCGACCTGCAGCTGTCTACAGTCTACAGATCTACAGATGACTCTTTTTTATGCATCTCTGAATTCTATGACACTGCCTATCCCCCGTGAAATTATTGACAACCCTGGTGCTACATTTGCTAAAATACTGGAATTGCAACAACCAAAACCTGTCCATTCGCATAGCTTATGTTTGCCACGCTCCGAAGAAATACTAACTGTATTCGAAATCATTACTATTACTAACCATACCCTTGCGTATCGTTGCTGCACGTCTACACGAGCTCTAGTGAAGCTACCAGCGGCTGTGCACAAGCCATTGGCAGATTTTAACGCTACCAAGTAACTCAACGGTACCAAAGCCACGATATATTTTTCAAAAAGATGGTAGACAGCGACGATTCCACCACACGCAGCTTGCTGCAACATATCATCTTCGTGCTGCTTCTCGTGATCGGCCTCACGCCTTTCCTGCTCATACTTTGGAACAAGACGGCTAACAGCGGGCGACTACGGGGCTCCTTGTGCTACAAACATTGTTTTGGTTCTTGCGCACGCCGCGTTTACTACGATGAAGCTGATTTGCGAACGCTGAGAGAACTAGAGCAGCCCATACAACGAGAGAGCGTGGGCATTAGCGGAGCTTATCGCTTGTACCAGGCGCGGAAATCGCGTTTAACGCTGCATCTGACGTCGTGGCGCGAGGACGTCAAGCGCGGTAGCGGTGACGACGGTTGCTTGCATCACAAGCTAGCACAGATCCTAGTGGCGCAGAATCAGTACCAGCAGAGTCAACAGGCGGCTGCTGAAGCGACCACCGGTATGGTGCCAGCCAATCAAGCCATCTTGACGTCCACCGTGCCAATCAATGGCCGCGAAAATGAGTCCAGCAGCTCGTCAGTGGCGTCAAATTGGTCGGATATGTCCGACGACTCGGACAACGGGTCAGCGTACGAATTGGTACCGCCAACACCGAAGACCAAGTCGCGAGCTCCACCAGGCCGACGATATGGTGTTATCATCGAGGGAGAAGATGAAGTGAAAGAGGACGCAACGCTTTGCGCCCATGATATCGTATAGGTAAGCTGTCATTATATGAACATGTTATGAAGTCACACAACGGGGCAAAACAAAGAAGTTTTGTAGATGAAGATAACTAAAGTGATAGACGTCGGGGTGTTAGCTACAACTACTGCTTGCAGCGCACAGTAAAGCTACAACATCAAACTGTAGAACGCGAACAAGAGCGCATGTAGGGGGTGACCAATGTAGTCGGTAAATCCTATGTATTTATTGCGCAACGCAATTTTGTGCAAATTATATTTGCTATTATCTTCATCGTTTGTAGCTTGTAAAATTTTGCCCATCACCTTTATTTACATACGCGAAACATTAACGTGTAACACTATGCACGACTCGACTACAGTACGCCAAAAGATAATCTTGCCGTGCTGCAGGTAAAGCATTGCCTCGCTTGTGCGGTTAGCTTAAAGCACCGAAGAATGTTGCCGATGCCGACGCGTTCGAGTCTTTAAAGATGATGCTCGTGTACACATAAACTGAAATTATTCCCACTGTTCATGCTGGAACGCATCTTGATCGCGATGATGTACATAGCTGCACTTCGTGTTTCTTCCTTTGATTTTACGAAATCGGGCAATAAAAGGAAGAGCAATTCTTGTTTTTCCTTGTGATCTTCGCACCATGTCTTTGGTAAAGCGATGTAGAATTCCAAGCAGCATCATAGCACGTTGCATACCTTGGCGATTGCAAATGATTCCTTGAGAGCGATTAACACTTCTCTAATAACACACGATCAAGATTGCATCCATGGTAGACAAGCTAGACAACAACGCTTTTGAACTGAGACCGCACGTACCGCGTTAATTGTCGATTTATGATAGTGCTCAAATCTACCGTGTCAATTCTGACTTCGACAGTGACGGTGAAAATAACAAAGCAAAGAATTGGACGCGTTGAAACGAATTCAAGTGAGATTGTGAAGAAGTCGTGAGAGCACTTTTGTTCAACAACGCGGTACGGGGCCGCGGGAAGACTACACTTTAATGTTATTAACTAAGGTGCACAAGGCTGATTATAAAGTCGTTCTGGCCCGCGTACGTGGGCCGACAACCCCTGGATTGGGGATCGGGAGAAGAACTTTCTAACGTCAAGGCAGCATGCCAAAATTCAGCCCTGTACTATAGCGGAATTGCAACTGCATCGGATTGAGGATCGAACTTGCTCCTTCGTTATCCTGACGGTAGGCGCTTTAGGAACGTACCCGACACTATCGCGAACAAACAACTCTTGAACCTGAACATTCAACCGTGTGTCGGTACAAAGGTTCAGACGGTGCGCTGACACAAACTCTAACGACGCGTCAGGACTCAGCAAAGGGAAGTGCGTGGCAGCCAGCAGCCTTACAAAAACCGCCAACCAATCTATGGGCTCATAGGAGCGTGCGTACCAAGTCTCATTATCGAGTAGCAGTGCGGCAACTGAATATTTCAAGAGCAAGATTACAGTTACTGCAAGCTCCAATGCTGCCAAGAGAGTAAAAGAAACACGAAAACACATTTTCCGCTGGACATGCCTGTGCGTGCAAGCCTGCTGGTAGAAGCTCATCTTCTACTGGACAGAAGAACGCTGGGAGCTTTGACGGCTTCAGTGCTTCCTAGCATTTAGTGCAAGCAGACGCGCGCCAAGAATATCCAGGTGGTCCAGGCACAGCTAGCGCGACACCACTTACACGAAATCTCGTGTGTGGACACGCATATGGCACATCCTAAGCACCGTTTGCAGTACCAGCTTGTGGATGCAATGCAACCGAGTGACGTTCCAGCAAGCAAACATGATCATTGCCGGCAGTGTGCATGAATTTTGGAGACCGATATGAGGCGACTTCGCGCCGTAGCGAAGCGAGAGTGCCGACGAAAAGATATGAAAATTTAAGGTACTCGTCTGATGCTATGTCAACGTGTCATAGCCAGACAAACCCGAGAGCTGCCACTCAGGCAACGAGTGTCATACAACCACCGGACTCGAACCAGGCTTAGAATCTACTAGACATCCTGCAACCACTAAAGGTTATATAGACTTGTATGTAACTCTTATAACGCCATAAATATTCCTTAGAATGGCACTAATGAATTCTGGCACTCACCTCGTCACCCGATGGACCTCTACTATCATACATTCTCTCAGATACTGCTCAGGTAAAATCCATGAGCCAGATACCCTGACTTCAAGCTGACTGTGCCAAAGGCTACTGCTTAACAAGCGTCGACGCCGTTTGCGATGGCTCTGCAGCTGCGTCCTCGGAATATCCGGCGACGGGTGCGGCAATTGGCAAAGGTGGCGGTGGTCATGGTCGGCTGCACGGCTGGCCAAATGGTAATGACTTACCGTGTGCTATCAGATCCTACGTCGGTCTTTCCCAACTTGGTCGAAGCGTTTTCCCCATCCAACTCGTACTCATGCAAGAAATTAGCAAGCTGGAAGACAAGCAGTGAAATCGTGCTGTACATCGCGGCGCTAGGCTACATCTTTGTGTCGCTTGCTATCGTCTACGACGACTACTTTGTGTCGACGCTAGAAAATATCTCACAGAACGTGGCGCTGTCGCCTGATGTGGATGGAGCCACTTTCATGGCCGCCAGTTTGTCCGCCCCCGAGCTTTCCGTGTCGCTAGTCGACAATGTGTTTAGAAAGCCTACGGAGAGCATGGGCGTCGGCATTATCATGGGCTTAGATCTTTTTAACATCCTCATTATCATCTCGCTGTCTGCATTACGGGCGGGCAAGTCATCTTCTACGCGACTCGCTCTGATACACGTAGTGTTGACTTTCGCGGTATGGGACAGCAGCGTCGATGTGCCGGACTCGATGATCATGGTCTGCTCGTACACGAGTTGTATTGGGTACATGGCATTCAGCGGAGCGGGTGGTTAGCTCCTGGTGCGAGCGCCGAGAGGTGGATCAAAGCAAGAAAAGAAGAGAAAAAGATTTGCACTCGCGTCCGTATTGACGTCGGATGCCACTCCAACAGCGGACGTGACTGTGTTCAAGGGAGACGTATCAGAGTCGATTGTGACCACTGAAGACGTACATAAGTCGATGGACGAGAAGGGGCATTTGCACACTGAACATGAATGTCTCGGTGAACAGGACGTAACGATGCTTGGATCACAGCAGCACATGTTCCAGGCGCAGCAGCCGCTACAGCATATGGTTATCATAGACTAGCCCGCGGATGTAGAAGCGCCAAGTTTTCAGGAAAGGTCATTGCACAAAACCACTTGAGCAATGTACCTGCTGCTGGAGTCGGCGAATGTACTGCCGAAGTTGTTCAATGATGTACTGGTTCTACCGGCCGGTATTTTGGCCAAATTATGGTTCGTGTTCACGTGGCCCATCGTGGCTTTGGCGCGCATAATAAATTCCGACTATCATTACCCGGCCTTTTGGGGTCTTAGGGCATTTCTGTGACCGTTGTGCTGAATCAGTGTACTCTCACACTACACAGTTACCTTCAGGACCGAGATTGGATGTATCGTAGGTATCCCGCCAACATTCATGGGTCTCACGACAATTGCCGCAGGCAGATGCGCTAAGCTCTGTCCTCGTCGTCCGCGCTGGCCATGGTGACATGGCCGTATCAAATGCGCTTGGAAGCAATGTGTTCGATATTCTGATAGGGCTTGAACTTTCCTTCCTTTTAAACCTTTTTACGGTCGATTTGTACTCGTGTCCGCAGACGACTTGAACGTCGCGATCGCCATCCCGTTTGCCTTGCTGCTCTTTATAGTGGCGGTACTGGTATCTACCTGCTTTACCCGTTGACTTGCGTTTTTCTAGTGGTGCTCGACGCAGCATACGTTACCTTTTCGTTTTTGCGTGGTTTGGACATTATCTAATAGAATTTACGCAATATTATAACAACGTCGAGGCACCGATTTAATGTCTTATAGAAAGAATGCATACTTCAGATTAACCCATAGTGTTTCCCGCTCCGATCTTCAGTATTTAAACGCTACGATTTCCCTGACAATCTAAGTAAATGAAAGCTTAACGACACGACAGAATCGTAAACGTGGTATCGGAATCAGTGCAATGTCACAACTACTAGCGACAGTCACTGCAGAATATTCCTTAATATTTTTGCTTCACCATTGCAGTTTCTTCGTACAGCTTGACATCATCTCGTAGTGTCAAGCCAAGAGCATGCATTGTCTCGTGACAAAATTTCGTAAGCAACAGCTGGTCGCTGGGACTGGGTTGCTACTTGACAAGAGCCGTCGCGCAGGAAAAAAGAACGCGCCTTGTCCGTCGACGTTCCGCTCACTGTGCCTGGATGATTTGATAGGATCTCAATACGTTGCTTCGTTATTAAAAATAACAAGTTTATAAGCAGCAACAATAAATGCCAGGCTTCATTCACGGTACGAAGCATTCAATGATAGAGGCCTTTCAAATCGTGGGTCGCATTCCGAGTATTTTTTTCAATCTCGAGCCGATGCTAGCGACGAGAATCCAGCTCTATCGCTCAGAGCGTTGTGACTGGCAGTAAACACAATAGGCAGCTTCTGCATCGCAAGTCTCCACTGAGGCACATGCAAAACGTCCTAAAACGAGCACTACGTCCTTTTCTTCCGCGACTCGGTTGCACCTGGGCATGCTGACGCTGGAACGGGCCAGGGTGGCATAGGTAGTCATTCTATTACTTTCTCCGGCTAGAAACTAGCATGGCAGAACTGCAGCCAAAGATTGAAATTGGCGCGGCGCCAGATCTAGACGCCGCCGAAGCCGAGCGGAGGCGCAAACAGCGCGACCTCAAGCGGAAGTCCCGCGAGCGCAAAAAGGTGAGAGTGTGCTCACTGAATGGAATGAATGGTGGCTGAAAGTTTGATCGCTGACGCGTATAATTTAACATTTGTGCCGCAGCGGAATATCAAGGAACTTCAGAAAACTGCCCAGGTACTTGAACTCGAATACAAACAACTCTTCGCTGCTAAATTGATAAGGGAACAGCAAGACAAGGAGCAGCAAGGCAAGCAGAAGAAGAGAGAGGACGTGGCGGTTAACGTAGAATGCGAAGCAGTGGAAATTGAGCAGTCTCGACTCGTTGAGCTGCAGGAGAAATATTCGACCGTTCGACAGGAGATGCATGAGCTGCGAGAACAGATGACGGGATTTAAGCATAAGCTGGAAGAGTACGAGCGATTCATAGCGATGCTGGATGGCCATCTGATGGGCCTCCAGGATACACAGACACGGCAAGAGGAACAACGAGTTGAGGCGCTGAGTGGTACGATTAGAGCGAAAGCGATGGATGTCGACAAGCAAAATATAAAAGACAGGCAGGCTAGTAATTGAAAGACGCCTGGAAGATGAAAGTACGCGAGTTTAAGAGCTAGAGATAACGCGGTGGGAGATAGATGCTGAGAATTCTACATGTGGGTCTGTCTATAAGGGCAGTTCCTGATGCGCTTTTTCCGCAGCTTACACGTTTAACTTCATGTAGTATACGTGGACTTATACCTGTAGCCACTTCGCGTTGTCACTATATGGACGTAATCATTAATTCATAGCAGAGCCATTGGCCGCTCATGACTCGAGCGTTTATATGCTGATTGACGACGAAGCTCATATTAAACTTCGCCTATTCCTCGCAGCATTGGACTTCAATCACAAACAGACAAAAAAAACGGTGAAGTTTTGACGAACTAGTCACGATTACTCCCAGATGGTCTAGGGGAATGCTAACCAGGTACAGCGACAGGTAAAAACGTTAATTACTAAAACGTCTTAAGCCTATTAGAACCATAAGAGCGCTTATGATGGAGAGAGACAGGTTCAGATTGTCTATTAACACGGTGTTAATCATGTGCAAGATCTCTGGAAAGTCCTGAGCCAGGACGTCAACGCCGGGTGGCCCCCAGCGGTATATCGTGTCTGGCCACCGTAGAGCTCGATGGCACTCTAGGGTCGCGCTCAAGCAACTCCATTCAAGCATAAAGCATGGCACCATGTGTGGCTGACGCTTTTTTTGATGCTCTCTCTTTGCGATTGCTCGGAGCTGACAAAGGCACGAGGCTTAAAAACTGGCGATGCTGCTGGGAATGTGGAGTGTGACAGCCTTAAAGACAGCTGCATTCCGGTCTATCCAAATTCTTGTTTGGCATATCGTCGCGAGGACATGCCAAATTTGTGTCCAGACGCGTTCGGCTTCATTGGCGTCACCCTGTGATCGGTCCGCTAGATTTTTTGTGCGGTACTCGGGTATGCTGTCAACTCGTCGACTGGGACAGGCCCCCAGTAAGTTTTGAGTCAATTGACGGGTGACGATTGTCCGGTTTAAATACCAATGAGCTTTTCCCAGAGCGCTGCACCGCATTCACATTCCCAAAACAGATGGACAATAGTCTCCTTCCTGCCGCTGCAATCCGGTGTGTCTTTCTGCAACTATTTTCTTCGATTTTCGCGGCGTGATACAGATTTAATTGTCTTGTCGCCACCAGGTACACTGTCCAAACTTGATATGGAGTGAGATCATTACTATGGTCCCACACTTGCGTCGGCGTTTGCCGGAGCGCTGCGCTGCGCTTTGCCATTCTCCGTCGTTGCCGATTGGGAACGCGATCAACGAGAACCGAAAGTTGACGGGCGAGAACTTTTTTGTGGAACCGGAAAGCGTGCTTGTTTTAGGCGGTCGTGATGAAGTGATTCGACGTTAAGTCTAACACAGATTAAGGCTAAACGATAAGCTGCGGCGCGCTTCGAATACCAGAACCCATGCTCGAATATCGCGACAAATCGCCTGTCGGTCAGATGGCGTGCCGTCAGTGAGCTCCAGCAGAAATTCTATGGCAGAACCAGTGTATTCCATCATCGGCTTAGTGCTGAGTGACGGGGCGAGTTTGCCATGTTCGATCTCCGTTAAGTGGCCTACGATTTATGCCTTTGCCGAGGAAGCTGCAAGGATTACGACCTTGAGGCTAAAAAAAATTAGTACACACTTATCGCCCATCACATGTATCAGTCATTTTGAAGAATCATTAAGTCTTTTTTCGATCTTTACATACTTCCGGAAGTTGCAGACTTGCGCGTTGCGGCCAGGTTCTTAACATTTGATAGTGCTCAAAAGCCGCAGATCGGTCTCTTGAGCGATTCGAGCTAGGGTGGGTAAATAAACATTCAAGTGCCAATTCCTTTTCGAAAAGACCCACAAGTGATCATACATGTATGAATGATTTGAATACAAACGACAAACTCAATAGAAATACTTGCTCTTCAAGCGTTTTCAGTGTCTTCTCATCCCAAAACTTATTATAGGCGACAGCAGACACCGAGACCGGCCACGAGCTGCGGTAGTATTTGTCAAGGATATTGTAGACCCGCTGAGTGCCGCAAAGTGCTCGCACTACGTCGATGGGCAAGCATAAAGGATAATAAAGACGGTGTGTAACGTCTTGTCAAAAATGTGTTGTCAAATTAGCAGTTGCTTTTCTACCTAGACGAACTTAAGAATGCGCATAAATTGTAGCAATGTGGCTGTTACCAGGATAATGCTGTAGTTGACTATGTGGCTCGAAGGCCGCAAAATCTCGTAATGGCTATTCTGCTCCTCTCGAAGACACAGCTCTTTGCATCATTCTAACGCATCTTCTCCAAGGAGACACTGTTTTATCACACCCCGTTAGCCGAAGAGGTGGCGATAGCATGCTTACCAGTTGCGACCGCTTCGTCCCAGCTTTTGCACGTAAGTTTTTGTACTCGGTAAGAATAGGCTTGAGCAGCCTTCGACAACAGACCAGGTAGATCTGAGCATAGGGCGTAGACGAAGGCATTGCTAATGGCCAAGTGAGCAATAGCATGAGATTCTTTCAATAAGCAATATCGGAGTCCGCTTAGTAAATGTTGTTTTACATGCGTCAACTGCTCCCAAAACATGACATCTGTCACTTGAACTGTCACCACTTTCGAAACTAATGTGACAAAACAATGTTTTTGCTGCATGCACTTGGGCGATTCTGCCATCAAATTTTAGCGCCTGGGTTTCCTCAAATTGCTGTCTCTCCGTCGTGCGTTGGCTCTCTCGATGAAAGCCATTTCCAAGCCCTGCTTGTTGCTGTGCGTAAGCGCTGGCCATTGCTGTTTCTTGTGCCTGCCCGTTCTTGACGGCCAGCCATCTATAACACCTTCTCTAACTAAGAGGTGTACCCAGGCCAAGGTTTTGCTCCCAACGCAGAGCAATCTGGAGGTTCTCAAATAGCCAGAAGGAGCGACTGCGGTCGCCCATGTTGTTCATAATGCCACCATGCACAACCTTAAGCTTCTTCTCTTCGTTCTGTACATCCTCGCTGTTTTTGCTATCGTCGGCAAGTACCTCTTCGATGTTAATCCAATACATGGACTGTCGCCACTCCTTCTTCTTCTGCAACGCCATCGCCTCGCTGAATTCGACGTGAAGTGTATGCTCCTCGCGACGCAGACCCTTGCAAATGATGAGGCAGCCCGTCTCGTTCGGATGTTGGATGCGCGTCATAATGATAAGCGCCGTGGTGATCGAGTCCTCTCCCTCCTTCTCCATCGTGCGGTAAAGCACGTAGCTATTGTTATCAAACTGTTGCATGATGTGGAAGCGCGTGTGCAGAGCCGGTGCGTATAGTTTCGAGTGTCTATCAGGCGACGTGAGCGTCTGCCAAGCTGCACGCGCCACTTCCGGCGCACACTCATAAGAACTGCAGCAAAAGTTTTTCTCAAAGTAGTATCCAAACGAGTTGTCCTTGGCCACATGTGAGCATGTCCATCCAAGAGCCGTCTCTGTCGTGATCATGCGGTGGCGACTAGCAAGGAAAGTCTCAAACGTGCGGTGCGCATCCTGTGCAAATTTGTTGAAGTTCTCGAAAGACATTTCGTCCATTATAAGCATGGGCGTCTGCACGCGACGCTTGCCATTCTCATCATCAATAGGTGGTGCATGTGAGTGGTCCATGAGCTGGTAATTAATGTCAAACAGTCGCTGAAAGCGGAACGAGATTTTCTCACGATCCTCAAATTGCTCATGTAGCTGCGTGTTTTCCATCCAAAGTCGGTCACGTAGCCTCGCGAGTTCCAGATACCTCTTCATAAGACTAGACGGGTCTACGGCTGTTTCATCCCTTTGCCTCTCTGTCTTGTCCTCCCATTGAGCCAACAGATTGTTGTATTGTTCGCGTAGGTACTGCGTGTGTGCTCTCAGTTCCCCAATAGTCTCCTGCAATAACCAATACGGTATTAGTATCCCTCCTCTTAGGTCCTAGATAGTTTCTTTCACTATTTAACAGCCACCGTACCAATTTTCGGTAGTACAAGCGCTTGACCGAATCGCGGTTCTTTTCACGCTTGAGTCCATCGTCTGGCAATGCCAGCGCCAGCGCCTTTCGATGTCGAATTCCCGTAGTACTGGGCCCAGCAGTCTTAAGATTTCGCTTTCGTTTCTTCTGGGAAATCTCCTCAGCCAACATACTCAGCAGATGACTCGTAATGTCATCGTCATCATCGTCGATAATGTTGAGCGGCGTCGGCATTGGCGGCATCTTCTCTAAGGATGACGAGAATTTTTCAGTGAATGACAAGATACTGCCTTTAACCTCTACCTCAGGTTCAAATTCTGCTTCAATGTTTAGCTCCAGCGCAGCCATGTCACTCTCCATTGTCCTCATTAGCGCAAATGTTATTCTCAATAATGAAGCTAATAGCTTTAGCAAATTATTTCTTTTTTACCAATCAGGTGATGTGTAGGCTTATAGCGACAGCCATAATGTAGCTGTATGCTTTAGTAGAGGTTTCAAATCTTTGTCTAGACTGTGACTGACAAGAAAAAAAGCAGGAGGACGACCTCAGGTGCATCCGCTGCTTTACCCGATTCAAACATATTGCTTTCATCTTTCCCAACCCTGCAGCGTAAATGCATTTAAAGCGCCGTTTAAATACTTATGAATTGACATGATGATTCTCACTTTGATCCCAATAGGTTAGATATCGATGCAACTAGGCACCAAGCATCAATAGGGTCATTTTTTCCGCGCTGTTCAACAATTTTATATATGTATGTAAACGTGTTACGCGAGCCGTCTTGCCACCAAAGTGGCTCAACTTCAGCATGCGTCGGGATATCTCTCATTCTCCACATATCTCTCTACTCTCGCCAGGATCCATCAAGTGGCGCGCAGAAGGCCATCCAGGCTGCACGATCCTTTGCACACAGGCGCAGAAGGTGCAGATCTGGGGCCAGTCGACGGCGGTGTACACCGGTAGGTTTCTGCTTGGATCCCTTAGATGTCTATCTTGTCAACAGGTCCCACCCATGGAGAGTCTGTTGTTGCTTGCACCAGGAACAAAGGATTACGCGAGCGTACAAAAGCGGAGATGCTGGAACTTCGGGACATCGGGCGAGGCGGCATACATCGTGGCGGCTTGTCTGGCGGCTGGGGGTAAGAGCGGCAAGAGCGGCAAGAGAGAGGTGCGTAGAGGGAAAGGACCGTCAAAGACTGACGGATGCCGCGGAAGCATCCGTCTACGGCCTGAGCTAGCATCACGCTAGCTCAAGCCTTCCGGGAGGGCGTTACCCCAACCTGACCAGGATATGCCCAACAAGTTTTGGTTTAAAGGAGATTTTGTGTGCAACATCTAAGCCAGAATTTGAACGGGCTCGTTTTATGACCAGCGAAATAGACAATCGGTATTCCGAGAGAACCCTGGTTTCGCTGCGAATGGCACCGCTAGCTCGGGACTTAATTTATTATAAAAAAAATGTGGGCTCCTTGTAGCTGCGAGTCATCAATCAGCACGAAAGCTTGTGCATCATGCGTTTAGTCTTCGGGCTCTCGCTTATGGAGTTGTAAGATTTTTAAGGAGAGAAACGCGCCATAAGAGATCGCGTATGATTCTTTGTTGTCACAACGTACACCTGCACAAAGCAGGCTGAACTGCACACAGCGATGTTACATCGCCAAAAGACATCTTTGCTGGAAGCGCTGCGTCGCTATCTGGTGTGAAGCAAAACGTGTTTTTTCGATGTAATTTTCCAGGGGGTTTTGCAAACACAAGCTGACGAGACGTCTGCTAAATTAATGATGTAGTTACAGTTAATAATTCACTACAGGTCTTTCTCGTTAAATAAGATGCAGATCCGAGCCGACAAACACGGTAAGTCGAACTTTACCGGTCGGATAGGTACGACACGCAAGGAACATGGGCGCGCGACGGCCGGGACGACACAAGTAGTCCCCGCGGCAACGCTCGGCACAAAATATGTTGTCGTTTCGGTAGCACTCAGCGCGTAGGCTCGTAGAGCTGCTGCAGGCGCTGGCGAAAGAGGTGGCGATCCGCAATACGCAGACTCAGTCGCTGCTGCTCCTCGACAAGCGAGCTACGCACAGTCGTAAGCTCAGCGTACAAGTCTTTCGCTGTGATGCGACGCTTGCCGTCGATGAAGGCCTCGGCAGACTTTTCGTTCTGCTGCTGCCAGTGCTGGAGCACGGAGGCGAACTCGCTTTCGAGTTGAGCCACTTCCTCGCGCAGGCTCTTAAGCGCCTCACGCTTCTTGTAGTAGCAGCGCTTGACGAAGAGGCGATTTTTGGCCTGCTTTTCTTCATTGGAAAGCCGCTTGGTGGAGAGCACTTTGGCATTGTTGCGCTTCTTGAGCTTCGTAGCCGGGCTGGGCTTGCTGCGCTCTGAGCAGGAGGACGAACCCGAGGACAGCGGCGTGTGATGGTCCATATTTATGTCTTCCATGTCAAAGAAGTCAAGCGAGATTGACAACGGTTGCACGGACGGCGGCATCTTTTGCACGGAGTACGCATTGGCAGCGGTGGGGGCGATGGCGGTCGTAATGGTTGCTGGAGCGGGACCGGCCTTAGAGTAGGCTGGTTACAGGCAGGTGGTGATAATGGCGGTGAGTGCCGAAGCTAGCGAATATGAAAATGAGTACTTGTAGCTTATATGCGCGAGCGAGTCATTGTACTCATGCGAACAGCGAGAAGAAGAGACGAGGGCTCATATCCAACGCGCTGACAACGTCCAGAGGCCGCAGTGGCGACTTTGGAAGGTTACGATTCCAAGTATCTTCTATGCGCGCAACAAGTGGGACATCACGCTGGACATACTTCATTCGAAGACTTTTGAGTTAAAGTCTCTACCGCTGGAACTCGTTTGGTGTCCAGCGAACAGAACAGAACGGACTATTTATTTGCCATATTGACCCAGTACCCCAGCAGCACACAATTATTTTAATGAGCTGCCCTCAAATTCTGTCTTGTAACAGTGATAGTATCGCACGCCACGCGTGACTACTTGCGAGCCGGATACATTGCACGAAGAGTTGCACTACGTATCATATTCACGTGGGACAGGCTGCACATGGCGGTGGGTTCAATAACTCGCGGTGGTCACGTGTCCATCGCTGGAGCTCTGAGCTGGGCCGTGTTATTGCGTCCAGCAAAGGCTCGCTCTTGTTGCACTTTCAAGTCTGACGCATGCAGCGAAGTAGGCTCATGATCGTTCAAAAGGAATTTTGAGATGCTCGTTTCATCATAAAGCACCGCAACTACGCCCCAAGTCGCGAACGACGCAAAAAACACGACTGAATCAATTTCTGTCGACTGAAGAGATACATTCTTTTATCGAAAGTGCTGAGGAAAGCCGTATTACTGCTGTGACATCGATACAGTGGCAAGTGTCATGCGGTCACTTGCGACTTTAGCAGGCGTGTATGGTCTCCAGCGCTTACTTCGATCCAGAAAACGTTCTCAGTGCGGTTTGCACCAACGACATCCACTTTCTTCGCCACCAAAGCATTTTTACTTTACCCTTATCCTAGCGCTTTCGCCGAAGTCTTCAGAAGTGTTGCATTGCACCCGCCATGACATGACTGATCCAACAGTAAAGCAAATGTAGGCGAACATGGAAGTTGTTCGTCTTTATGGTCTCAAAGTCGCTGACAGAGGATTGACGGTATTTTTTATAGTCACACAGTGTCACCTGTTCGTTCACGAATCCAAGTCTGACATCGTAGATGGTGATGATGGTCTTATTTATCACTTATGTTGACTCAGCCCCAAAGCTGTATGCCCCATCGAGTTTTCAAGATATTTGACGATTCAACAAACGCCAACTCGGAGCACATCATTTCTAACCATCAATCCACTAGTTTTTCTACGCATTCGTCATTATACTTTCTAAATCTTTTTCGAAACACTCGCGTCACGCATTGTAGCATGCGTTCGATATAAAAAAGAATGAAGTTGACCACACCCCATTGCAGTACACATGAGGGAAGCTGGCGCTTCTTTAGCAACTTTTCTTCTTTTTTTCAAACGCGCTAGGTAGAGCTTAATCTGGCTAGACTTGCTGTTATAATGCTACTTGAAGGAGACTACTCGCATACCGACTTGGCTCCACATCCTGTCACAGGATCCCTGTGCGACTCAGTGCAACTCCGACCCCCACTACAACCCGACAAGTAATTATAACATTATGTTAAACGACTTATTTGTTTTTTTTGTCGTGTGACATACTCCTTCCTAATGTCCTCGCATAAACAACTTGCGTCGAATTCGCTTTAGTATGCATCTTGCCACAAACATGGACCAAAACATTATGTAGTAGTATATTCTTCGAATGAACTTGTAGGGTCATTACCTTGAAGTATCACAGGAGTCCGACTACCCACATACGATTGTCCACTAGTTGAGCAATGTGGAGTGGCTCAGCTCATCGAATGTAACAGGGCATCTAGTTACACGTAAACATTAAGTAATATACTTAATGTTTTGTCTAAAAGTATTTATGATTACTTTTGACCTGTCGTGCGATACACAAATGTGATCCACCCTCGTGAATGTGATATCCATTTATGGATCCACATGAGAAGGGATGACGCTAGTTGAAGCTAGGCATCACGACGTCTCAGAAGGACGTCAGTTGCGATCTTAAATCTAGATTTAAGTTCATGCAACAGGATACGCTTCTAAAGAGTCGCGTATCCGATCTATATATATATATAGCCAATCAGTAGTTAAGTATATATTTAGTTATAATTAACTAAATATAGCTCAGTCTTGATTTGCTAAATCAAAAGCACCACGCACGAGAAGCCGAAAAGCTTCTACGTGACGTCGGTGACTTCTTGTCTTAGAAGTTCGTTGCACTCTCGCTTAAGCGAGAGGCAACTGGTGGTACGAGTCGACCAACCTCCTAACCACCCTCGCACGCGAAGGTAAGACGGTCTAACCGCTTCCTCGCTTGTGCATAAGGTGTGTGCTCGTAGTACGAGGCAACTTCGTAGAAGTGCCCGTCTACACTTGGTAGCACTAGTAGTCCTTCCCACGACCCGTCTCTCTGAGCGTGCGTGTGGTTAAAATGGTTCTTAACATGGACTGGAGTGAATTTCCTCACCTGTCCCAACATCATAGGGAGTTGGCAGAGCATATGGCACAGGGACTTGGTGAACAAGCCCTGGTCAATCTCTTGCATTGTCCTCCTGAGCAATATGTTGCTCAGTTGGAGCAATTTGAGGCGTTTGTGCTCAGACAGCGTAGAAACGCGTCCGAGGTAAACAGCCAAGCCACCGCTGAGTCCATCACTAAGACTCAGGATGAGCTTAGGCTTGAGCAGGCACGTAATGAGGCGCTCAACAGAATTGTTGAGACTCTCTCTGCCCGGCCTGCTCAACCGAGGCCCATTCGGATGAACACTCCGAAGTTCGATGGAACTACCCCTCACACGATTGTTCACTGGCTATTAGCAGTGGAGCAATGTGGAGTGGCGCAGCTCATCGAAGACGACACCAGAATGGTGTCGTATGCCATGTGGAAAAGCGTCAGAGTGAGCATACTCTGCGCTGATGGCTAATGCTGATGTATTTCCATCATGGGCGATCTTTAAGGCAAAGATTCGCGCCATGTATCAGCCGCCTAACAACGAAGTGTTGCTTATGGCGCGCTTCTTTGGAGCACGACAGGCGAAACGCTCTCTGCAAGAATTTGTGCAGGAGATGCGTTCGCTGTCGGCGTCCATCAATGGGGAACCGATACCAGAACGTATCAAGGTGGCCACGTTCATGAATTAGGCATGGCCCATCGCGTCAGGACCTTTTCAGAAAGGTGCCAGCGACGATGGAAGAGGCAATTGTCATTGCCTTAGTTGAGGAGTAATCCTACAACAGCGCCTCGGCGACAGCCTATTACAGGCCGTCGACCGAAAGGTCTGATGCCACTTCTATGGAGTTAGGCAATGCAGACGTGGTTTGCTACAAGTGCGGCAAGCGAGGCCATATGATGGCTCGCTGCTATGCCAAAGTAGCTGCTGGTGCTAAGGCAGCCAGCAAAAGGTCGCCCAACCCGAAGGGAGGTGCGAAAAACCAGCGTGCACGACGCACGGGTTCAGCATCTGCCCAAGATGGGTCGGGAAATGCGAGAGCGCAGTAGGGCGGGATGCCCTACTGTCGCGGACTCTGAAGCTACCCCTAAGTTCAGAGTGATCGAACAAATGGGTAGCATAGTCCCTGAGGTTCCGAAAGGTCGGACCTCAACCCTTTTGGTCTATAGCGCTCGAGTACGAGGCTATGACCAAGTGATGACCCTTCTCGTGGATTTGGGTGCATCACAAAACTTTGTGAAACTCGCGGCTCTGAAAAAGAGACCGGCGAGTTATGCGTCGCTTTGCCAGGATGGCAAGCGAGAAGAGGCGATCGCTCGTTTAGCGAACGGCGCGCTCGTCAAATCGGAGGGAGTTCAAGTTGAACTCGCTTTCAACTTTAGTGACTTCTCTTGTAAAGAGAAGTTCACAGTGCTTAGGTATGGAGAGTCCGTATGACCTCATCCTAGGCATGCCTTGGTTGGCTAAACACCAACCATGGATAGACTAGCGTACACGCACAGTCGCTAGCTCTACGCAAGACACCGGAAAGGATGTGCTCTTGCGAGAGGCTTATGTGGCTGATGTTGTGTCCAACACAGTCGAGGGTGCGTTGACGGTATGTCAATCGACACCAGGAACTACCCCGCTCAAAAGGAGTGGTGTAGTTGGAAGTGCGCTGGCGGAAAGCCAGGTGATACATATTCCAACCTAGGTAGAAGAGACTGGTGTAGTGAATGGGGCGATGACAGGTAGTCATGCGTCCAATAGTCCTGCACAGAGCCGAGAGCCTGTGGTAGGTGATGGTGAGCTGACAGGAAGTCAAGCGCCACAAGAACCGGCACAGAGCCAAGAGCCTGGTGCGGTTGGAAGGAGTGCGTTAGCCGAGATAGCAACGGCACCTTCTTCCAGGTCAAAGGTCGTGGTGACTCGAAGAACGAGCACCAGACGTATTAAGACGATCAAGGGCACGTCGAAACGAGTGACCCTTGGATCAGTCTCGGTACAAGAGGACGGACCTACGAACGAGTTGTTCGAGGCCGTCGAAGACAAAATGCCGGAGGCATCCTCAGTTGAGGTGCTCCAACTTGTCTTGGCATCTGCCGAGGAGATAGTAAATCTCTCGGAGATGACGTGGGATATGTCCTGTACGAACTAAAGGAAGGAAAGATCCATGAGATAGTCGCACCAGTTCCAAAAGATAACGTGGTGGACTGTTGCTCTTCATCCACAATGGATGAAAGCGTCTTGGAGACCGACAAAAAGAAACAGTTGCTGCTCAAGGATGGGAAGCCTTGAAGGATAGCCCGTTCTATGATGTTCTGCGGAAACACCGTGATGTGTTTCCAGCAGAAGTGCGAGCCGCCTACCGGCCGATAGGGGCATCAGGCATGAGATTGACCTGGAACCTGGCACCAAGTATTGTG